TAAACTTCTCTTTTGTGTGTTCGTACTGCTCGCAGAGCGGTGAGGGATGGCAAATATTTTCCATGCTAGATGCGTTCTTCTCACGGTCAGTGTTTATTCACTTATCATTGGACAAAGTAAGGCAAAGGTATTTGGGATGCCCAATCCCAAAATGAAAAATGAATTTAATTTATGTTGTTAAATACTAAGTTCCTTGGAAAGTGTTGGTATGGAAGGCACCCGTGGATACGCTTAGCCATGGAAAGTGAAAGTACGATGGAAAAAGGAATAAATTTTATTTTCTGTTCAGGAACCGCCTATGATATATCTAGCATGAAAAGTGTTGGGAACTCTAAGTCGTTTACGTTGCTGGGAAAGACACACCTCTCAAAATGTTTTTATCTCTAAGTTTTTCGCTTTGAGCTCTGGCACCTCTACAAATCCCTACTTCCTTCTGTGAACGGCCTTTCTTTTACTTTATGCAATTTTTATTTTTGAATTTGAGTCTCCATCTTCTCTTATAAAAGCACCAACTAGGAGGCAACGTGATCGTACTTGAGTACTGGGTGTAGTTAATTCGTGAGTGTGTTTCATGAATGGATCAATGATTGACCATAATGGGCTAGGGATAACTTATTTTAGCGTTGATATTTTGAAAGACATGGTTGCTTGTTGATATGCTTGACTATTTAAGTCATCATATCAAAACTAGACTATTGCTTTGAATCATATAAAAGTCCAAATGTCCATGCTTTATAGAAAAAATATGATATGACATGTTAGGCAGCATTTCACATCAAAAATTCTATTTTTATCACTTACCTACTCGAGGACGAGCAAGAGTTAAGCTTCAGGATACTGATACGTCTCCAATATATCTATAATTTTTTATTGTTCCATGTTGTTATATTATCAATCTTGGATGTTTTGTATTCATTTTATAGTCATTTTATATCATTTTTTGGTACTAACCTATTGACACAGTGCCAAGTGCCAGTTGTTGTTTTCTGCATGTTTTTTACATCGCAGGAAACCAATATCAAATAGAGTTCAAATGCAACGAAACTTCATGGAGATTTTTTATGGACCAGAAGACACCCAACGTCCCACTTTTGTCACAGTTACAAGTCCAACTAAACGCCTGACATGCAGTTGGGGGCACGTATTTTTTTATCCCAATTTCAAGTCCATCCCTCGAAACGCAACTGAGCTTGACCCTCTCAACACACAACTGGGGGATCCGTCCCATTTTGTAGTAGTTGCAATGCCACACCAACATGCAACTACGGACCCACCTTCTTTTTCCTAGTTCGAGTCCACCATCAACATAGAGGTGGAGGAGGAAAGCATTTTTTGTATCAAGTGTAACTCCACCTCAGGATGCAATCATGTCTGTCTTTTTCTAGTTGCATGTCCATCCTTGACATGCAACTAGGTCCCGGCCCATTTTGTGGTAGGTCCAAGTACACCCTTGACACTCAGCTGCTGGGCCGACCAATTTTGTCCCAGTTGCAACTTCACTTGGCATGCAATTGCCCCCCCCCCCCTTTCTTGTCCCAGATACAACTTCACCCTCAACACGCAACTGGTGTACAACCAATTTTGTTATTTGTAACTCCATTATCGATACGCAACTGGGTTCCTACCCATTTTTTGTCACACATGCAACACCAACCTTGACACGCAAGTGGCCCTGACCCATTTTTGTCCCAGTTGCAAGTCCACCCTTGACACACAACTGCATCATTGCAATGAGACTCCAAACAGGTGCAACTAGGATCCAACAAAGTTTTGTCTTAATTGCAAGTCCTACTATACCCCTGACATGCAATCGGAGGTTCCATTTTTCCCAATTGCAAGTCCACCCTCGGTATGAAATTGGGGGCGGCCAATTCATATCAAGGTTGCAACTCCATCCTTGATACGCAACTAGGGTCTGACCCATTTTTGTTCAGGTTGCAACTCTATCCTTGACATGCAACTGGGAGGCTGACCATTTTTATTCGAGTTGCAAATCCACCCAGACATGTAATCGGGGGACGCCTATTTTCTTGCCCTAGTTGTAAGTCCGCCGTTGACACGCAACTGGAGTCCAACCCATTTTTATCCTAATTGCAAGTCCAACTACACCCTAACATGCAATTGGGCCGTCGACCTTCCTTCTTTTATCCCAGTTGCAAGTCCACTATTGACATGTAATTGAATCCTTGGTCCTTTTTTTCTCCAGTTGCAAGTACATCCCTAGACTTGCAACTGGGTCTGATATTTTTATCACCTAATTGCAGGTCCAACATCGACTAGCAACTAGACTTAACATGTTCTTATCCTAGTTGTAAAACCACACCAACTTGCAACTGGGTCGACCCTTTTCTCCCAGTTGCAAGTCCACCCCCAACATGCAACTAGGTCCATCTTTTTTTGTCCTAGTTGTAAGTCGACCCTTGAAACGCAACCGTGGCTTGAACCATTTTATGTTCCAGTTACAAGTCCATCCTCGATACGCAACTGAGGGGTCCAATCCTTTTTGTTATAGTTGCAACTTCTCCCCTGACATGCAACATGACCCGTCTTTTTATCATACTTGCAATTCCACCCTTGGTGCGTAACAGGGGTCTAACCAATAATCTTGTCATGGTTTCAAGTCCACACCTTGACAGGCAACTCGGACCCAACACTTTTTTCTTTGTCCCTACTTGCAACTCCACCCACGACATGTGATTGGATCTCGCCTTTTCTATCCTAGCCGCAAGTCCATCCTCGACGCAGAATTTGTACTCGACCCATTTTTTGCACCAGTTGCAACTCCATTCTGATAGGCAACTGGGGGAGGAAGGCTTTTTTGTCCAAGTTGCAAGTCCAGCCTCGACATGCAACTAGGCGTGACCCATTTTTGTCCCAGTTAGAAGTCCAAGCTCGACACAAAGCTGGGGAATGGGTGACCCTTTTGCTCCAATGGTAACTCCACTTCCGACGTGCAACTACGCCTACCTTTTTTGTCCTAGCTACAAGTCCACTCTCAATACGCAACTGCAAATGTTGCAATCCTACAGAACATGCATGACCCCCAGACTCCAACTACCTGCGGGAGGGTGGGCTGTCAGCTAGTTGTATGTCCACCAATTTTTGAAAATATTTATATTTTTTTCCTTTCTCTTTTATCATTATTTTGTTTGCAATTTTTCCGTAAATACCATGAACCTCATTTTCTTAAAATTGTGACTTTTTTGTAAACTAGCGATTTTCTTCATATTTGTGATTTAAAAATTCATGAACTTTTCTCAAATTAAAAACACCATTCCAAATTTATGAATATTTTTTCAACTTCGTATGCAACATTAGTTTCGTGAACATTTCTTACCCATAATTTTTTAGAACCCTTTAATACCATCAATTTTGATGAATTTTTTATGCATGTTAACTTTTTTTTCAAATACAATGATTAGCATTTTTAAGTAGATATTTTGATGACTACTTTTTTCATATACGATGTACATTTTTTCGTATATATCTGAAAGTATTCATATTTAAAATAAAACAGGCGGTGGACAGAAAACCGTTCATAACAAAGTTACATAAAAAATAGTAGCTTTCTTTACCCAGTGTACTCTTAAAACTTTTTAAGAAGGACAGAAGGACACAATCTAGTGCACGCAATACACGTACACACTCGTGTGAGTAAGCAAATCCTATTTTTTTAACACACTTTCATGGATGCGGTCGTGGGCTCATGGGCCAGCCCAAATGGAGCGATGGGTAGTCCTGCATGAGCGACGCTGGCTTCTATTGCCTCTGGGGTCTTCAGGTCGACCCAAAAAAATAAAAACAACAAACAAAGATGAAACAAATTAGATGTGACATCTAGATGAGTCTAAGACATACTCCCTCCGTTTCAAATTACTTGTCGCTGAAATGGATGTATCTAGTACCATTTTAAAAAAACAAAGTATAGAAGGCTATTTTTTCAGACTCTCCGGCCGGCAACATCAGGACACCCTGTCTTCCCGCAAATAAAATAAACATCAGGCTCAGTCTCCCCCGCATGAAAGAATCCTTAAAAGGACTGGTTATTAATATAGTATCAGTGAGTGATCACCACCAACAAGCAAGGAATACGTGTAAGCAGAAAAAGTAAAGGAGGGGAATCCTCTAAAGGAGAGAAGATGTACCAACATCGCCAATGAGCACGTTAATTAGCTATCACCACCACGCAAGGCACACGACACCCTTTTCTTTTTCTTTCCTCTTGGTTTTGAGGGCATGCATCTCTCTTGTCTACCTATCTATCCACTGGAGTTGAAAGAAGAAGAGGAAGGCTACATCTGTTGCTGCACATTATACACAAGACCGAGAGAGAGAGAGAGACACACACACACAGTATGAGTTTCTCTGTGCAATGGTGGGATGAGTGGCAGCTGCGCATTCTGGTGCTGGGCAGCCTCTTCATCCAGTACTTCCTCTTCTTGTCCTCCGTAGTGCGCAGGTGTCCTCTTCCATCTTGGCTACGACTCTTCATGTGGCTTGCCTACCTAGGCGGGGATGCTCTGGCGATATATGCGCTGGCCACCCTCTTCAACCGCCACAGGCAGCTACCCCCAGACGGGAGCATCCTGGAGGTTCTGTGGACGCCTGTCCTCCTCATCCACCTCGGGGGCCAGCACTCGATGGCTGCCTACAACATCGAAGACAACGAGCTGTGGTCGCGGCATGCCATAATCGTGGTGTCCCAGGTCACGGTGGCCCTCTACGTGTTCTGCAAGTCGTGGTCCGGGGAGAAGAGGTTACTGCAGGCCGCAATCTTGCTGTTCGTCGTTGGGATCATCAGATCCATCCAGAAGCCATCAGCGTTTTGATTTTCGTTTTGTGATTTTTCTCGCCCTAGGCCGAGATGGCCGAATTTCGGTCGTTTTTAAAAATTTCGGCCGAAATTTGACCAAATTTTGACTGAAATTTGATTAAAATTTGACCAAAATTTCTCAAATTTGACCAATTTCGGCGGAAGATAGATTTCGCCCTAGGCCGAGATGGCCGAAATTCGGCCGAAATCCATTTTTTACGGCCGAAATTCAAAACCCTGGAAGCCATGGGCTCTGAAGAACGCCAGTATGAGTGGCATGGTCACCTCTTCCTCCCCATCCGTGCGAAAGGAACAAGGTCTGGTTGCACTTTTGTGTAGATGCTGCATTTTCGGTCATGAATATGATTTTTCTGAAACTAGAAGACAAGAAGCAGCAGCCGAAGAGGGGGACATTCCGCTAGAAGAATTTGTACAAGAAGCAAGCAGGTGCGTACCGCTGTTAGAGTTAGCAAGTGATCAAGAGAAAGCAGAAAAACTAGATTCAAACTTCTGGAACATGTGTGTCAACAGGCTACTGGTAGACATATCAACTCCATACTCTAGTCGGATTAAAATCCTACAACTTCTAATGGCCCTTGATTACCAACATGCAGATAGTTTGTTGGGAAAGGTGCTCAATCAGTCATTTGGGCTCCTATACACAAAAGTGGCGACTATACTAAGCGGCATTGGCTGCTGTTTGCATCTCTTGCTTCCATTCCTGACCTTAGCTTCTGCCATCCTCTTCTCCACAAGCCACAAATATCATGACTACAAGGCAACAGATGTCAAGATAACTTACATCTTGTTCTTTTGTACCATGTTGCTGGATCTCCTAGTGCTCTTGCTCGGTTTTTTTATCATGTTTTTTGGATTTGTCAAGGTTCCCCAATATAGCTTCTTGTCGTTCTGTGCTCGTAAGAGGAGGCCCACTATTTTGATGAAGCTTGCCACACTTGTCTGCTGCAAGGACTATGTTAACATGCATTGTTATATACAACACGCACCAGCAGGATCCTCCATCCCAATTACGAAGTTGATTCTTGGATATGTCAGGAATGGGTGGACAGGATACATCCACGATGCTGCCAGCTACACGAGGTTCAACAGCCACAGAGGCCAATGGACACTGAACAAGCATAGTCTGGGTCGCGACAATCGGCTGGGGTGGAGCTTGAAGATGGCGTTCGATAGAAGCATCCTTCTCTGGCACATCGCCACTGACCTCTGCTTTCACCACCAAAACACAACCCCTCATGGCCAAGAGTGCGCCGCTGCAAGCAGAGTGATATCCAACTACATGGCTTACCTGCTCTACATCCGTCCTGAGATGCTGATGCTCGGGACCAGGAACGGTATCTTCACTGTTGCCTGTGATGATGCTGAGCTCATCATGGGCGGCAGGCTAGCACTGGACGTAAGTGGACTTGTGCAGATAATTCTTCACAGGGCGCAACAACCTCGCGCGTTAAACACCACCAAGATAGGAGCTTTGGTTCCCAATGCATGCAGGCTTGCTGAAGCATTGATGGAGTTGCACGACGAAGGGGAGAGGTGGGAGGTTGTCCAGGGGATATGGGTGGAGATGCTATGCTACTCTGCCAGTAGGTGCAGGGGGTACTTGCACGCTAAGAACATGAATGAAGGTCCGGAGCTGCTCTCTAAAGTCTGGATCCTCTTATCACTCATGGGGATGGAGACACCGGCTGACAGGTATCAAAAGCTAGGGCCTCCCAAAGCCATGGAAGAAGAAGAAGAAGAAGAAGAAGAAGAAGAAGAAGAAGAAGAAGGCGACCATGAAGTTGAAGGCTTAGTTGTTGATTGTTGATGATGTATCTGTTTAAATTGCTTTTCCGAATCATTTCTTTGTTTGTTGATGACGTTCTGGTGATGGTTGCTTTTCCGAATATATAGCTTTGTTTTCCATTTATATGGTCAGTTGAACACTCGGTCTCTGTTGATGTATAATACAAATATTCTCTTGGGTTGATGAGGATGCATGTTGACTACACCATCAAATCAGATGCGCATACGTGAGGACTAGACAACACTGGCATGTCAGTCACTAGCAGCACAGTAATCTGATGTCAAGATTCAGAGTTTGGAGGCAACTCCAGCCTTGAATTGCTTAGAATTGTCCCGATGTCTTTCTTCTCAGGGTCGTCTCGGCCCAGCATGAATGTCGTTGATTAAATGAATTCAGCAGCCCCATGGATGATTATGCTGCGGCATCCAGAATGTATAACAACAACCTCTGCAAAAAGATACTCCTACTTGTGAAAATCTGTCAACGAAAGGGGTGTAAAAATGGATGGTATTGTCATCCAACAAGACCCTATGAAGGAAAGAAAGGGGCTACAACACTTGCACGCTTCTGGCCTACATGCAAGGAAACGGAAGACTCCAGTTGTTTGCTGAACAAATAACACCACCGGAGTTGAGTTAACTGACGAAACTGATCTTACTGAAGAAACTGTCGAAGCTGAACCTTGATGAGCTTAACACTTGCAAATTCGACCAACATTCTCTGGGAAGAAAATGCATGTGAACTCTGCAGCCATGCAATTGTATGAGAGCCCAAGAAAAGGAAGTTGATGTCCAAAACCGGTCACAATCATTTTATCAGAGCCAAAAAAAAGAAGAAGAAGAAGGGAAATTGATGTAGAAAACCAGTCACATTCATTGTACAACTGGAAGCAGAGCCTTAGCGTGGAAAGTTGGCCCGGGGTGTGGAAAGTTGCTGGCTACGACCAACTGTTACGCTAGCAATACAGAGCAATGCACTACGTCGGAGGCTGCAATTCACGTGTGTCGGTCGTCCAACATTCTACTCCCTCTGTCTCATAATATAACAACGTTTTTCAGCCTTTCTAAGATTGAAAATCGTTCTTATTATATTATGAGACGCACGGAGTAATAAATAGGCCCGTTTCTAGCCAGGCTGCTACAATCCCCTATGAGAATGCTGTTTGTTTGTACCACCGTGTACAAAGATAGCCAATCCTCGGGTATTTTATTATGTATATACATTTCGTC